GTATACAGGCTGCTTCCAGGATTTAGCTATTATGAATTGTGCTGCCATAAACATTGGTATTCGAGTATTGCTGTAGTAGATGACTTAATCTCTTTGGAGAAGATACCCTGCAGGAAAATAGCTGGGTCATATGGGATTTCTAATTTTAGTTCACTAAGAAATCTCCATACTGGCCAGGTGTGGTGGCACACACATGTAATCCCAGCACTTGGGAGGCTGATGCAGGAAGAACACCTTGAGTTCAAGGCTACATAGTGAGTCCATGTCAGCCTGAACTACAGAGCAAGACCCTGTCTCAAAAACAATACAAAACAAGAAATCTCCACACTAATTTCCACAGTGGTTGTACTAGTTTACTTTCCTCTATGTGTCTATCTTATTACCTCATGATTTATACAGAGATTGTTTCTACCAAGGTAAAGCAAAATTGAGAATTAAGCAATTATCTCATGAATACAGTAATCCAGAAAGATCAGGTAAGCTGAACAGATCGGGGTTTAACAAACAAACAGAAGCATAGCCACAATTGCAACTTGTTTTGCCCTCAGTAGAAGGACTACTCAGACAATTTGGTAAACTATTACTACATGGTAGTTGAGTAGTCTGACTATGTAATACATAAATATTATTATAGATACAAAATAAGAATTGAAGACAATTTCTTTCACCTTTCACAAACAAATAACAGGCATGCAAAAAACACTGTGTAGTCTAATACTGAGAGTGGCAAAAGGAGGTTTTTGAGATCCTTGCCTTTGAGATAACAAACACTGGTTTAAATTCAGACTATGATTTACTAACTGTGTGACCACAGTGAAAGTCTAACTGTGATAATGTTCATTATTCTGTATTTTTAAATTGTAGCCATGTACAATGGTTATGTCAGTGTCCAGTGTATAATAACACTAACATAAATATTAGGCATTGATAGTCTGCTGAACATCATGAACATGTTCTGAACTCTTAAACATGTAGATCATTAATCAAAGTTTGACAGATCAAAACATAATTTATAATATCCATAATTTGGTTTTGTTTTGTTGATTAAGGGTTTTTCTTTTAGCCCAAAACTAATTCTTCTTGCACTATTTAAGTTTTCAGCTTACATAAGTACAGAGGCTAACAAATCTATGCATTAACTATTCATTATGCAATGTTATAACTCATTTATCTATAAAATAGGTCTTTCAGAGTTAAAGGGTTTTGTTATAAATATTTCAAGATAGTTTTTCCATTAAAAAAGCAATTCAATCTAATCAAAGAAAAATTTCAAAATATAATAAAAATAAAAATAAAAATGAGGGCAGTTCTACCAACTGCCTCATAATTATCATTATATAATTCATGACTTTATTTTACATAGTTGTACTGACATTGTAAACTTTTGTCTTCTCCACTGATTATTTTTTGATGTTCATAGCTGTCACTGATACTGTTTTAAAAAGTTTTATCTGTCAAGAATATGAAATAAATAACATAGCTGATGTAAATTTTTAACTGTTGCTTCACATCTATTTTACAATTTTACAAATAACACTTCATTAAACTTTATGTGAGTAACATTTTGAATATAGAGGATTTTTAAATGAAGAATTGCAAGTCAAAACACAATAAATAGCAGCAAAGACTGTAAGTTATGTAAATATTTAAGGCTTTTAAGATACACTGTTGGGGATCAGGCTGTGTAAAAGTTAAACTGCTGACCACAGTGCTCTGAAGACAACATAACACCACAGCTGAAGCAAGGCTCTCACTTGCTATTCTGGAGGAATAAACTACCAACCTGAGCGATAAGACAGTTCTCTCAAGTAACAAGATCTTGTGCCTGAAGAATGACTTTGTTCTGAGTTCTCAAGGTCTTGCTCAGCTTCCTGCTTTTAGATCAGCTTTTCCCTTCAATTTTCCTCACGCCCACCCCCTCCCCACTGAACTTGTCTGAAATCTAATAAATACGGGCAATTCAGAGAAGTCCCTGTCTTAGCTCTAAGACCGTTCTGACCTTCCAGGACCCCAAAACCATCCTACTTGTCTGTTACTTAAGCCTTTGTCATACACTCCTTTCAGGAGACCAGGAGCTGGCCAAGCTCCTGAAAATATATTACTAAATTATTTTTGAAAATGGTTGGTTTAATTAATTATTATTAATGTTATTTTTAGGATACTTCCTTCTTTTAAAAATATATCAGTATACTGAAGCTAACAGTCGTGTTTTAATTAATTTCCAAAAGTAAGCTCTTCCTCCTTGAAAGTGCTGGTTACTTTGTTTTAATGATTGACACCTTTAAGAAATGAAAGTTTTAAGGTGCACTTTGTAAATAACTGAATTTATATATACAGCCATATGCTAGATGCTATCCAAACCACAGAGACCAAGACAAGAAGCTCAGCTAGAACACCCGTCCGTGAAGTCCAGCCACTAAGAAGCTACCACTAGCCGCACACCTGCCAGCTGCAGGAGAGCTACTGTATAGCCCCTGTGAGCATGTAGCCAGGACATGGCTCCTGATGATCTTCTAGTAAACCTTGAATTGTACTTCCTCAGTCAAAAACATGTAAGGTGAAAGGAAGCAACGATATGGTCATTGCCTTTTTTACTTACAGGAATGCAAATCTCTCTAGGAAATGTGATATTCCCCAATAAGGAATATGTCTACAGTCTCAAGAACTAGATTTTTAAGTGGCTATTCTGTACTCAGCAATCCATTTTTAAAGTGAGATTAACTCTACTTCTCCAGTCAGAAAATGGTTCTCATGGAGAGTTCTCATTGGAGGGAATCTATTTTACAAAGTAAAATGTAACTGAGCTTAGAGTGATACCTAGAAATGGAGCCTTATAATGGCTGGAGTAATTCCCAGTAAGGGTGCTGTCAGATGAATATACAAAGAATCACCTTCATTACATCAGGATGACCTATCCAACCCTGATTTTAAACATCAACTTTAAAACTGTTCAACAGCTTTGAGTCAGTCTAGGATTTCAACCAAACATTCCCTTTGTGGATCTTATAAAACAAAATCATTCTGGCACATTCTTTGTGACTTTATTCATCATCTTTCAGAAAGATGCTGACTTCACTGGGTTCAAAAAGGAGTTAAGGAAGGGGCTAAGACAGGAAAACCCAAACACACGATCTCCAGAGATGCCATGGGTACCTTCTCGCTTCCTATGATCTGCACTCAAGGAACAGTGCTCCCCAATCACTTTGCAAAGGGCAGTGTGTGAGATGACGGTCTCCTTTAAATCAGAATTTGTAAGAATAAATACAGAGATACCATGGAGAAACAAATATTCCACACAAAACTCACCTTAAAAATAAAAGAGTTAGTAATGTTTCAGACAGTCAACTAGTAATTCCTACTACCACCAAGTAAATATACAATAACATATTAAACAACGAATCATAAATTCACTATTTGGAAATCTCTTATTGAAATATGGTAATATGTTTTACTTGAGACTACTCCGTAGGTAAAGTCCAGTCACTAGTGTAGCGCTGGTGGCTCCATGTTAAATTCTCTTTCTTCTTCCGTACTGTTACACAGAAGTTATTTTGGGATTTGATTTTTACCTTTAGCAAAGCAGCAACAGCTTCCTGCGTGGCATTACGCACATCTTCTCCGTTCACCATTAATATCTGGTCTCCCTGCATCAGCCTTCCATCAGCATCTGCAATTCCGCCCTTAACGATATCTGACACGAACACGCCAGTATCGTTTCTGCAAACAATTTGGATTTGAACATGATTGTTTCTGAACTGTAATGCAATGCTTATTTTGTAACTTTTTATAATGAAACATTTATATCTATTTTTCAGAGTTTGTAATGAAGGAAAATTATTAGAATACAGTTTGTAACAAATACTATCTTATATCTTACTGTATTCCACAGATTGAAAAGATTTTCATAAGAATTTATTCTTTCTAAATTATACAATGTGAATAAAAGTAAGTACTGCTCTCCTTGTATGGGCCAGGTAGTTAGTAAATGGTAAAGATGGGACTTAAGAATTAGTGTTAAATTTATTTTTCTTTCTATAGAATAAAGAGGCCTTAAAGGGACATTGACCTGTGGCTACTTAAATATGTTTCTATTACCACTGACATCATTAACATTATTGAACATTTACAAAGTATTTGTTACTCAAAATTTAACTATCATTATTACGATGTCTTTTCGTTTAAATCATTTCAACTGACTTTTATATAACATTGATTTATACAAAATAAGCAAATACTAAACTAGTCCCATCCTTTCACAAAACTGAAAGCGCAAGACACAAAAAGCGCAAAGCAAAAACCCCCGAACACGAATCTTCACGTTCATCTCAACAGCAGCTGTAAACAGAAATGCACAGTGAAGCTGCAGCACATCACTTGCTCTCGCCAAGGTCACAACCCCAAAGAAGCCATACTCCATCTGCTCCTGTGCTTTCCCATCTCCAGAGTGAGGGTGTCGGGTTAGACGGGCTTTTTGCATGCTCTTCCCATGGCGATTCGTCAGGAACTACTACTGGAAGTCTTCACAGTGCTTTCAGGACCACGGATACTGTGGCCGCTTATTTACAAATGAATTTAAGTGTACCTTATTTCCCAAAATGTAAGCTACTGATGCTGTGCTCCTAAAAAGGAATGTCTAATTTTTTAGACATATCCCACCGAGATTCAAATAGTATGCTATATTCTTCCTGTGTGTTTAAAAAAATACTCAACTGTCTCTAAGAGAGCAAACTGGTATAAAAGTTCTTTTATTACCACACAGAAATGAAATGCAAAATCAGGTGAGACTGCGTTGGCTTGGGAATTTGGAAGTGCTTGTTTCCAGAGTATTCTAGTCATAACTGCATAAATTTTGACTCAATGGAAAAAATAAGCTGCCTTGAAATTGTTGATATCTGAGGCCTGAGAGCGTTGTTATTAACTTAGGGACACTGCCGACTATATCACATTTTACTGAACACTGATTTCATTTAAGTATAGCATATTCTGATCTCAATGGGTTTATAATACTAAAATGAAAGATTTACGGCATTTAATATTTCTTGATATTACTTGTATTAGCACCTCTTTTCTTGGAACTTTTTTCCCTAATCCACTTCCTTTAAAACAGGGTCACCTGGTCTCTTTTTTCTTTCGTGTACTGTATGACTCCCCTACAATGTGTCTGTGTCTTATCAATCGACTCATTTTTTTGGGAGGACATGTTTCTTGTTCACTATGCGTTTTTAAGGTCAGGAGCCACATCTTATCTCTATTTCTCAGAACCGAACGTATTTCCTGCACACAGCAGTTACTTTAAAAACACCAGAAGGCTTTTTGTTGAGGACCTTCAAAATCCCCGTACACTGACTTAGTATCTTGCCATGCTCTGTTAGTGATTGGTCCAGGGCAGCTGCCTGTAAACCCGAGCCACTGATAGATTCCACTAGTGCTGGGGTTATCTCCAAAAGGTCCTTGCGTTTGCTCTCCCCAGACACACCTTTTACCAACAATGCTCAGTCCGAGGCCTTTTCCTGGCTTCTTCTGCAGCTGCACAGTGAGGGCCTCACACATGTCGTCCTCTTTGTAGGGAGCCTCGTCTCTGTAGAGTGTCAGGGGCACTCTCTGGGGTGTCTGTCTCAGGACGTTGATTGCTTCATCATGGGTGGCCTTTCTCAGGTCAATTCCATTCACCTGTACAGAAACGGGACACGGGCGGCGAGGCAAGCGTAAGTTCAGTGAAAACAGGAAAAGGGCGGGAAAGGGGGAGAGAGAAGTAAAGAAAGAAACACACACCCTCCACGGCCTTTGGCTGTTATTTTTTGAATGAAACAGGCATCCCGTACCTCTAAGATCTGATCTCCAGCCCAGAGTCTCCCATCTTTACATGCTGCTCCTTCTTCATAAACTTCATGGATAATAATGGCGCCCTGGGGACCCAAACACAATACACCGGGCTTTACCCCGTTCTCACCCAGAAATGGCGAGGGGATGCTGAGCCCAAACGCTCCCTGCTTTTACTGAACCCCACGAGGGCCACGTACCATAATTCCAGGAAATGCTAACTATACAACTTTGGCTAAAAGGCAACAAAAGCTTCTATTTTCCTAGGCAAGTTCAAAGGAAAATATGAAACATAATCATACATATAGTAATACCATAGATATACATCATCATTCCTATCTACAAATGAAATAATTTTATAGTATTTTCAAATTTTAGAAAATGTCATCCCCACATAATTCAGTTTTTCAGATGCCTCTCAATTTAGGTCTAACCTAGCTTGGATATTAGTAAAACAGGAAATTAAAATATGTCAAGGGCTGGTAAACTGACAGAAACGCTTTAAAAACTAGAGGTCACAATCGTAAGAGGTCATAATCACTAAGAGGACTTAGTGAGTCGGTAACGGCTTACTGGAAGTAATAATCCCAGTATCCTATTGAATATGTGCCATATACATTAAAATGATCATGAAGTACATGTTTTCTCAGCTTCTATGTTTCATTTAGTAAAACTCAGAAATCTTCCTGGTCATGTTCTCTTGGCACATCTGAGGACCGCCCAGAGGCCCGAAGCCCCTGTGCACGGGAGCGCTCACCAGCAGCGTGTCGGACCCTCCCACAATGCTGAGGCCCAGCCCGGTTCGCCCTTTGGAAATCTCAATTGTGGTCTCACAGCCAGGGATAATGGGGCAGGTTGCAGGGTCAGAAGCGAAGATCGCTGGTGTTGAAGACCTGCTTGTACCTAAAATAAATCAGAGATGAAATAAAATACAGATACAAATGGATTACAAGGTGCATGCATCAAACTTAGGCCCCACACAGGCTGTGTGTGAGCGATGGAGCCAGAAACATGCCCCAAAGCGGGGGCAGAGAGACTTCAAGTCTGCCTTAGGTCTTTCCGCTGTTCTCTTTAAAAGTGTCAAAGCTAAATCGTCACTATTAATTTAAGAAGTGGTACACAATGACCTGATTCATTATTTCTTTACGTTTTTCTGTATTTTTTTAATTGCTAGAGATATGAAGGATTGGCTGTGAAGAGAAAACAAATCTCCCTTTAATACTCTACGTCTCACCAGAGACAAACGTATTTTATGAAAAAAAGTTTATTAAACTCAGAACTGAGCTATGTGACAGGAACTTAGAAGCACATTTACAAAAAGACCACAAAACACACCATTTAATTTGGTTATGGTACCTATTCTTCGACCTTCTTATATTTTTATTTTACGTCTATCTTACCCTGAAGCACTTTTTCTTATGTAATCATTTGTGAATATATATATAAAATTATATATTCTTCGACCTTCTTATATTTTTATTTTACGTCTATCTTACCCTGAAGCACTTTTTCTTATGTAATCATTTGTGAATAAATATATAAAATTATATATGTATATAAAATGTAAAGGTTACCACAGAACTGTGTAAACCAAGCTAGCAACAATAGACTAAAAGAACCAAGCTAAATCATCAATATATTAACTTCCCACCAACAACAACAACCAAATCCACATTCTGTAACGATAACATAATTTAGACCCGCAACAATATGACATTTACAATACACAGCATACAATAAAATACTACCAGGTATATAAATTTGTAGCAAAATTTGATTCAAACTCAGGGAAGAAGCAGTTAATATAAACAGTCTGTATATTATAAAGATGATAATGATGCCGAAAAGAACAGGTAAGACAATTAATGATAATTTTACAACATTATGCAAAGTTTGTGGGCTTGTCTCTTTATTTATTAGAGTAGAAAAGAGACCCACTTCCTGATTTCCCTAATATAAATATAATTTGATTTCCTCACTGTTAATCACCCTAGAATGTAAAAATGGGGGGAATTCTCCTTGGAAAAGAAGAACTAGGAAGCAGATCATATCCATAAACCTTGACTATGGCTAACTCATGTCTTGTCTGTCTAGCAATGGCATGGTTTGGTAGAAAATAGAAAGTAAATAGATGTTGGTGAGCATTATCAGTTCAAAAACAGTTTAAAAGGACATGATGAAATAGTCATTTATTTTATTTTAAAACCTATCCCTGAGTTATCCAGTGTTTTGTCAGAAAAGTAGAGTCTAGACTGTGTTCTTTGTGTTTCAAGCAATAAGACTTCTCATATAATAAATTATAAGATTACAATTAGAGAGAGGACAATATAATTAGTCTGATTCCAAATGAGCAAAAGAGTGATAGAATGAAAGTCAAAAAATAATCAGAACTAACTCTGAGTTCTACCAGTGGCTTTGAGGAATTTAGAAAATTATAAGCCTTCTAGGATACAGTTAGCAGGGAGCACAGCTGCTCTTGTACCATTATTGGTGATTTTCAAGTAAGTGCCCCAGAGGCTACTGCAAAATCTCGAATTGCTCTTTGTGCATGTGGCCACTATTGCTAAGGGAGCAAGAGAACAGAAGCTTCTCAAATCACATGCAGGTGTCTTTCATTGACAGAATATAACCTGGAATAACGCTGGCCAGGATTCTGAAAACTTAGTTCCTAGGCATCCAGTGTCTGTAATGTTGGGGAAATCATGGAAGAAAGACAATGGCTCAGAATAGCCCATAGGCCATCAGAAATGCTTCCTGTTCATCAACACTTGTAATAATGCCTTAGAGTTGTAAAATGTCTTCACATGTTTTCATACTTGAGCTTTGCAATAACATTTTGGGCTGGTATTACAACTCTCATTTTACAAAACAAAGAGATGAAATTCAGAATTATAGGACTTTCCTTTCTTAAAATTTATTCTACAGTATGCTAGTTGGCCTTAAAACATTGGGTTTTATTTCAGAAGATACATTCTTATCAAGGAAATTATTTGACCCTAAGATAGAAATTTAAGTATCATACTAAATGGTGTTTTGTAATGAATACTGCTAAGAATGTTCCCCAATAAAATTTACAGGCTTACTTTCTTAAATAACTCTTCAGTTATATTATCTTTAAACATGATAATTATTAATGTTTCTAGCTCATTTCTAATGAGAAACAATTATGCATACTTCTCTTTCATATATGTAAAAGATTTAAAACTTAGGCAATCAGATTTTATCTACCTACCAGTAATCATCACTTGTAAGATCAGGTTAAGCAACATACAGAAATTTCTTCAACATTTAATTGACAAACCTAAACACATAAAACAGCAATGAAATATAATTATTATTAAGATGCACATAACAAAATAGTCTTTTATATTTGGGGGCACTAAGGAAACACAAATAAATAACACAAGTGAAAATCACATATCATGGACTTATGAAATCTATATTTTCTATAATAAGTAACCCACAAACTATAAATTCAATCTTTTACTAATTTAACTAACATCTATATGTATTTATATCAGCACATTTTAACTGTATCTCTTCTAAACTTTGTAGAATAAAATAACACATAGATATTTATATGTGATTATCATATCAGTATACCACAACAATAAAATAAGATATATGTTTTAATGAAATAGATAGCACTAGAGACAATACTACTGATTGTCCCTGGGAACAAATTACAAACTAATCAGATAATGGAAATTACTGCAGAAGTAAAAGCTGCTGCTGCATAAAAATTTACACTAAAAAGGGGGAAGGTTTTATCTGATTATCTCATTAATTTTTTGAAAACTATTTTTGTAATCTAGACACATACCTGTGTCTTTAATTATATTACAGCCTTCCCTTTCCTCCTGCACTTTAACCTTCTCTCTCTTTGTCCCCCTCCTGCTCCTGTTCTCTTCAGGTATTTTTTTCTCTTCCTCCAACTTCCCTTGCTCCTTACACTTCTCTGTTTCCCTCTGTCCTTCCTCCTGCTCAGCGTTCCTAAGATTTCCTAACAATGAAACTTGGCTCCATCACAGAATGACCTTCATAAACAGGAAATTTTTGGAGCAACAGTGATGTAAAAAATAATTTTTAAAGTGCAGTGATCTTCAAAAATCAGTTGTTAAAACTCACTTTGAGGAAAGCTAATGAAGTCCCTTAGAGGTATTAAACACTGCCCTATGTATTTGAAAAACATTTCCTCCCTCATGAAGTTGCATATTATGTAGTTATCTAAAGCAAGGTTCTAACTGAAGCCAGTCCTAATGTAGATCATGCTGCTTCCCCTGATTTCTTCACATTGGGGACTTTCATTTATGTCTACACTCTGGACTACTTACAGATTGCCTGTGAATTCATCTATTCAAGCTAATTATAGGGACAACTTCCCAACTTCCATTTGCCTTCAAGTGTCTATCAACTATAAATATCTATTGCTCCTTCTAACATCACTACATCCTCATTACTTACCATCTCCCTTTCCAAAGCAGGCAGCAGAAAAATTACTGTGATGTGGCCACCTCATCACCCACGTATGAACCTTTTTACTTAACTGGGATTTTTTTTTTTTTTTTTTTTTTTTTTTTGCTTTTCTCAAATGAACAAGAACACTCCTCAAACCCCCAGTAATATTTTCTCTCTAGAACTGAGGGGAAGAGGGGAAAAAAAGTGAAACAAAAAGCATGAGATGACAGGAGGCATTTTAAATTGTAACCACAGTGATTCTTTATTAAGCAGCTGAGAAAGCCTAGCAACCTGCAACTCTGACAAATATCCCCATGGTACAAAAAATCAGAGCTTGATCACAATTTAAAAAGACATCTTAGCAATCAATACTTAAAGACTTTTTCATAATAAAAACAGTGCATGTATATTTAGTGCTTCTGCAAACAGTACATTGACTCTTACAAGCCTGTAAAAAATGTCTGAGTAGATTTCTGTCTTTTTTATTTACAAGAAGAGACTAAGAATATAGCTTAGTGGTAGAATACTTGCCTAGCATGTACAAGGCCCTAGATTTGATCCCCAGCACCGCAATGCTACTATTAATGGTAATGGATATGTACTGTCTTAGCCCCTTTCCCATTGCTGGGACAAAAATACCTGACACCCACAACTTAAAGAGGAGAGGTTTATTTTGGCTCACGGTTTCAGTCCATGATTGGCCGGCTCTGAGGAAGAAACAGGATGGCGAAGGGGATGCAGGAAGGAGACCATGCTCAAACCATGGCAGCCAGAAAGTAGAGAGAGAGAGAAAGGAGGAGCTGGAGGTGAGAACACCTTTCCAAGTGATGCCCCCAGTAACCTACCCCTTCTAACAAGGCCTCCCCTCTAAACTTTAGACTTTTGGGGACATTTTATGTCTGAACCATAATACACATATTTTCATTATAAAAATTTCAAGTAAAAATAAAAATTAAATTAAAAATAATAAATTCAAATAATATAGTTCTTAGAAAAAAAAGTGAAGATCTCTTTTTGGTCAAGCACAGTGTCCTTTCTGCCATTTCCCTATGTGGTCATACATGTGTGAAGGCACACAATTTGTGAATGGAGCTATTCCTAAGTGTGATGTGACCCATGCAATTTCATGAAACTCTGTTCATAACTAACATTTTAAATGTTTCCATGACATACCCAAATTCCAGTCAATATTTTAATCTGCCACACAACAGTCTATAATGTAGAGTCAAAGTTATCATTCTTGGTATGGCTTATGTCCAGATGTCCCCCCCAAAGCCTCACGCAGTGATAGGTGAGGTATTTCCAGAGGTGGTCAGATCTAGAGTATATGATGCCAGGATTGATTCATGGTGCAATGCTAGGCCCAGGCGCCCTAAAATTAATTGTGTGAGTGCTATCTGCCCTAAGTAGCCTGGATAAGACATAAGGGCTAGAAAGAGCTGTGG